CTACCCAGTGCTGGAGCACTACAGCGGGGAATCGGATGCCTCCAGCCCCCGCTCCAACTGCTCCGACGGCATGGTGAGTGCCCCAGGGAGGACACCCTGCCACTGAGGCGCCCCAGACACTGTTGGTCCAAACCTGCGCAGGGCGAGTCGCCTCCTTCTGCCTTTCCTATAGCAGCTGCCTTCCATACCTCCCCAGGCAGAAGACAAAGTCCTTTCTCATGCCTTGAGGTACAGCAGCAAAGGGAGGTGGGGTCCCCGCATGCCAGGATCTGCGGGGAAGAAGAAAAATATCTCACACATGTTTTTCCCTGGGATGAGAAGTTAGGCAGGTCCCCCTGGGTTCCAGGGGAGCCAGGGAAGAGCTGCTGGGGGAGCACTTTGGGAAGCTGCCTGGGATGGGTACCTGGAGGCATGGGGAGGTCTGAGCCCTGCCTGTGCTTCTGTAGCTCCTGGGGCATCTGTTTCCATCTTCTGCTCTATCATTACCTTTGAATCCTCTAAGGACGGCAGAGAGGAAGGTCCCCCTTAGTCATGGTGTTTACAGGGGAACTGATAAGAGTCTGGGTTTTGTTTTCTGCCATTCGTCATGATAACAGGAGGAGGGTCTAAGCAACAGTTGTTGTTTTTCTTGACCGTTAAGAAAAAGGTTCTCCATTTCTCCTCTCACTTCATCCCCTTCATAGACATTTACCAGGAGTAGGAAGGAGACCCCTGGCTTTCAGTCGTGCTTGTACGTTATGGGGAGGGGAGAAGAAGGTTGGGTGCCAGAGAGGGTGTCTCATCGCCGCATCTTTTCACTGGAACTATAGGCTCGGACTCTGGTCTGACTCTGTGTGGTGGGATGTGGTGACTGGAGTGCAGGACAACTGTCTGGGATGGGCTCCTGACAGCACTTTAAGACCTGAGATTTTTTTTCTGTGCTGTGGTGGGGATAAGGATTACCAGGTTGAATATCTGCAATTATGAGATAGTTGGCAGATTGGAGGAAGATTTACACAAATGATCCCTGCTCAAAATACAGCCTTTTTCTTTTGTCAGAAAGATTAATTTCATTGCAGATTAAAGTATTGGAAACAAATATACTGGTCAATGTTTTGGGGCTTTTTCTGTAAAAATGGAAATGGGAAGAGAAACTAAAGGAAATAAAAAGGGACAAAGGTAGGCTAGAGGCTTTTTAAGAGGAACTCATGTTTGGAAAAACCTTCAAAAATTAAATCATAAAAAACCTCATTCCCCTCTTGGTCTCCCTGTTGTAAATTGAAGATACGTGTAGGGCAGTATCTGATCAGAATGCTGGAAAACCTCATCTCATTTGAAAAGGTTCGATGCAACAACAATGGAAATTTTTTTTGGAACAGCTGTGCCACATAAAATATTCTGGGGTGAATCCCCTTCTAGCCAAGTTAAGTTCTGCCTCATTCAAAGAAACTATAACTTGATGGCATTTCAACCAGGATTGGAATGATGGCACAGGCTAGGGACTGAAATATGAAATTGGGTGGTTACTGGGATTTCAGTAAATGCTGTCCCCAACCAGTGACCTCACTCAGATTGCTCTCCTTTCCAGATGGAGTACAGCAGGCCTCCTTGCAGCTCTCGCAGAAGAAACAGCTATGACAGTAGCTACTACACAGAATCACCAAATGGTGAGTATGTGCCGTAATGGCTGTGTGAAACATGGAGACAGAGGCAGTCAATATAGCAAACCTCCCCGTGCCTTCTCCGTCCCCAGTTGTTTAGCTGACCCCAGCTGGGCTGAAGGAGGAACCTGCCTTTTCAGCCAGCGAGCTGTCGATGCTAATAGAAGCACTGGATTTCCTCTAGACGTATTTGCAAATATGGGGATATGTTATAGCTGCATTTCCTATTTTGCAAATATAACATCTGGATAAAAATATATTCCTCTCTTCAACCAGTTTTCAGTGTTTAACCATGTTTTGCATGAAGACTCTTCTAACTCTATCTATCATTGATCCAAACTGCAGAAATTGTCGATTGATTTAAAATCTTCTCTTCCCTTTCTATGGACTGAAGTGAAGCCCTGGATCCACCCTGCCCCAAAAGTAGCATACTTTGGTTGGGTCTCTCTTCCATTTTGCAAATGACAATCTCTGTTTTCTGATAATCGGCATCCTTCACTAATATTCATTTCCTCTGAATCTTTACATGCTCACAGATGCATACTGTCAGCCACTCACTGGGGCTTTATGAAAGAACTCCGTCCTGCTGACGGTAAGTACCCGTTGGATAAACTGATCACCTTTTTGTCTGTTTTTTAGATCCAAAGCATGGGAAGAGTTCTGTTGTTTCCAGCCTCGATTGCCTCTCAAGCATTGTAGAGAGGATTTCCACAGATAACTCCACATGTCCTATACTGCCTCCAGTGGAAACTGTTGCTGAAGGGAGTCCCTGTTCCCCCCCTGAAGGAGCGAGTCTGAATGATAGCGGAGCCCAAATTCCTTCCCCCACCAACTGTACCCCACTTCCCCAGGATAACAGCAGCAGCAGCAGCAACAACCCTATCTACCAAGTGCTATAAGGCAGGTCCAGCTGGACTGCACTGAAAACAAATTGCTCCGTTCAGCCAAGCTCCGAGACCTGCCTTCTAAGACTGAAAAGACTTCTCAAGACTTGTTCCAGTTTTAAAATATCACTCAAAATTCCCTCAAATATGTAACTTTTCAAACCTGTATTACTTCAAAATACTCCTAGTTATTTATTGGTTGTTAAACTAAAGTTATTTAATATGTCTAGAGATAAAATTGTATACCATGAAATGGCCAATGTTTAATCTGGGCTTTGGGGAATAGGAACCTGGCTCTTGAATGCAGAGGAGAATGAAATCTGTGACGGTAGTGCCATGACAGATCCTTCCTGTTACTCCTGTTCTGGCCAAAATAAGGTTGTGGACCATTTTTTATAAAACTTTTTGTATAATTGTAAATAAGAGTTGCTTTGCAAAAAAAAGGGAAAAAAAGAGGAAAACAAAGAAAAAAAAGAAACAAAAGCAAAAACTAAAAACAGGAAAAAAATTTAAAAATATTTAATATTGCTTGGTTTGTTGTGTCAAACTTTAACTTTATATATTTATACGATGTGGTTGCCAAGAATGTTTTCAACAGTATTCTAAATAAAGACCCTTATTTATAAAATCTGTGGTGTTATCTTGACTTTCATTAGGGCTTCTAGAATTACTAGTGCATTTAGGAGTGGTATTAAGATCACTGCCTTGGCAGGAGGAAGATACAGGCTCTGATTCAGCAAAGAAATCAAAAACGTGCTTCAGTTGCACTACTTTCAAATACTCTGCATAAATATTTTGCTGAAAAGGGGTCTACTTTCTTCATATTGTATCTTGATGATTTCTAAACCAAGTCTTGCACATCAGAGGTCATTATTAAAGAGATCTGTAAGGCAAGTAAGAATGTTTCTTTTCCTCCCCCCAAAGTTTACAACTACATTATAGGACTCGATCTTACAAAGATGTGTTAGAACTAGGAATCACAATAAATTAGATTCTCCAAATTTCAGTGCAGCTACCAAAACTTAAAGTCATACAACAGTATCTCACAAGACCAGGTACTACATTCTTGGACAAATGTTCAGATTTTTCATTCAAGTTCTACTTTTCAAGTGTTTGTACCATGTTCATATATTCTTGGGTATTAGAAAATAATTGCAAAGATTTTTTGTGTCATAAAGTTCCAGGTACAGATCACAGTTTTCCTCAAGTTCAGGTTGGAATTTAGGCCAAAGATAGGCAGTTTTAATTTGGATTTGAACTTTATGCATCTCTGGCAGCACTACTCCAGGGATTTACTTCTTGTTTAGAGCCTCTCTAAAAATAACGAGTGGGCTATGTTTCGTTCAGTATATATATGTGTAACCTTGCAAGCTTGCCATGAAACCGAAAAATGTTAAGCCCTGAGCAGGTTGTCATTGGTAAGTAACCATCAGGGCATTTCTGTACATCTGGACAAAAATAACCAGCAGCTACAGACAATGTGAAACAACCCATTTCTTGTTATATTGCTGTGATATATGGCTTTTATTTAAAAATCACAGTAAAAAAAAAAAAAACCCACCACCCCAAAAACCAACCCAGACATCGTCCTCAGCTCTGAATACTCTGATGACAGATCAGTCATTGTATTCTCTCTTAGGTGACTATTAAAGGGGGAATTTGTGCAGCTCTTACCTCTTAAGCAGGAAAAAGAAAGAGGGAAGAGCTAATTCCATGGGAATGTCTCCCACTCCTTTACTCGTGGGGGCCTGGAAGATCAATGCTGCGTGGGGAGGAGAGGAGTGAGCGGCCTTGTGCCGAGCAGAGCAACGCACTCGATTCTCCTTCCTCCTGGGGCAGAGGCTGCTCCAAGCTACTGGCTTACCCGGAGCCAGAGGGGGCAGGGAAGGCAGCAGCCATGGGGATTCCTTCCTCATCCATGCACTTGTGACCATGGTGGATGATAAATCGGCAGGACCATTCTGTGGAGCAGATCGGAGGGGACTCCGGGGCAGGACTGGCTCCTCAACACCTTCACCAAAGTCCAGCTTGGCAAAGGTCTCCCATTGATTCACTGTGAGCAGAAAACAGTCCAGCTCATAAAGGTTGAACTTACCCCTTTCATTTTTTCCATTAAAAATAAAAATTAAATGAACTTGACAATGTGCGAATTCATACTAACATGAATCAAGAGGGTCTCTACTAAGTTCAGAAAAATGCCCCAGGTTAGTTTGAAGCCAATATCACTAACTTACAAAAACTAAAGAGAGACAGTTAGAGCCTCCCAAAGCAATGCCTCGCACATCAACCTCAACATTTTCATTGCCTCCAGCAAACACTCAATCAGCCCCATAATGCAAAAGATCAAAAGACGCTTTTGTGAAATACTATAGACCTTGCCATCCCCACACTCTGAGGCTGGTAAAAGTATCAATTTTACTGTCATGTCAATGGCAACCAAGGAATATTTTGCCAGCTCAGGCAGTACATAGACTCTACAACATACTGGCAGCACGAAGTTCACGCCTGCCTCTCTACAGCACCCCACTTCTGCGGGACACAATGGGGCATACCTGGCTGTGAAGCTGGCACGGCAGAGCAGACATGGGGCTTGTGCTCAACAATGTACATGCAGTTCCATGTGAAGTCATGTATATTGCATTTCACTGATTTATTTTAGCAACCCACGTTTCCACATACTGATGTTAATGTTACAACAGAGAACAAGCATTTAGCACATCCCAAAATAGATGGATGGATGAAGAAGAAAAAAAATATTCAGATTTCCTATGCAGAGCCCATCTTTTTCCCATTGATGTCAGAAAGAAAAGTCCACTGGAGTAAGGCCAAAGGGTGTCAGTGCTGATAAATACACATTTAGGTTACAGCTATATTTATTTTTGAACTTAAATAAGGAAAACGTGTTCCCTGTGCAATTCCTTCCTGCGCAATTTCTTCCTGCCTATTTCTAAGGTAATATATTTAAAACAAATGCCTGAAGTTACTCTGCTCCCCTGTGCATCAAGAGGACCGCATGTTACGGACAGAAGTATATCCCAGTCTATATTTCAAAGCTGGAAATATTTGGATTCAGAGCTTTAGTTTAGTTCCGACGGTAAGGAACATAAGCAGAGCTGTGGAATGCTACCTCCAAAGGGAAAGTCATACAGCTACAAATAATTAAAGGCAAGTAGCTGTCTTTGAACATAAAGATAAGTGTGTATCTTAGGAATGCTTGATTTTATTTGTAACTTAAGAAAGCTTTACTGGGGCTGCGTGACAAAACCAGTATTATCGGTTTATCTTATTCAAACTATTGCTATGGAAAAAGTGAAGAGGAATAAATGTATGCCTCACGTATATATGCTAAGTACGTGCTCTGATTTTAAATTTCATCGGGTCATTTGCAAACATGAGAATGAAGAGGATCCTTTTTCTACTTTCAATATTTCACACCAAAAAAATTCAATGAAGTTGGTTTTTAAAAATAACAATGTTATAACATTTCTCACATTATCACTGAAGATGCTACAGAAATTTTTCAGATATTGAAAATTCAGTTTTAGGTAAAAGAAATATATGAGCTATTCCTGGTATGTTTTTTTCCTTTTAAAATATTTTATCATCTGTACCCAAAAATATTAAAGAAATGTTAAGTTGGCAACGGCTTTGCACCTAATGCTGCTCTTTTAAAATGACTTGTCATTTTAAACACAAGATAAAGACCTTACAAAATCCCACGGAATGTGGAATGAAAAACAGTTTTCATTTTACAGCTTGTATTTTGCAGAGATATTTGAAAGGGTCAAATTGTGCAAAGGGCAAAACCTGCTCATTTTACTCATAAAAATGGTATTACCATCTTCAGAAGAACTACATCAAAAAGGGAACAGACAAGCAAACATTTGTACCTCATACCACCCAAATGTTAATGAGAAGAAATTAATATTTCCCTTTTGTTCAAAAATTATTAATTTGTCCCTTGAAATCAGTGGCAAAACTTCCAACTTCAGTGGGAGTGAGGCATACCTGAGTACCTCATTAAGTACTATTTACTAAAGCTTCTCAGCTCACCCTCCCTCAGCCTTTCAATCACTTGTTTTCCAGTAAACCTGTTGAACAGTCACAACTTTCTCTCCTTGATCTATGCAGCACGCTCCTTCTCCAAAGGTTTGGGGCACAACTGGGAATGTCATTAAGTGGAGACCAATGGCTCTCCTTTCAGTATTTGAGATTTCAGGGCTAATGAGGGAGAGAAGGGTCCCTAGTGCAATAGAGAAGAGCCTCCAGGTAGTCCTTTCCCACCCAGGTCCCACCAGGAATTGGGAACATGTCTGGCATAAAGCCACCTGGGCCAGTAGAAGGAACCCAGAAATTTCCCTGTGGACCCAGAAATCTACCTTTCGCTTACACAGACACTTCTGAATAAAGACCTTAACATTGTAAGCTTAATAGTGAAAACTGACCTATCCTGTAACCACAGGGCGATAGAAAATCTCAGCGTTTTCCCAATAATACAGTCAGCATGGCACTGAACTCACATTTTCTTTCTAAAACATCAATAACTTTTATCTTCTACACGCATCTTAGCAACATCAACAAGTGTGCTATTTCATGTAAGACTCGATGACTAATCCCACATTCGTCAATAGGGAGGCAAATACTGTCTATGAAGTGAAGCTATTTATAAAAAAATTATTAAAAACTGACAGACAATAACCCACTTAAGAAGATTGAGGGAGGTTGTGATTGTGGTTGGGGTGTTGTTGGCTTTTTGCTTGGAGTCAGATTCACTCTGAGGTCTGTGTCTCAGCACAGTCACCTAGTGTTGCAAGTCCATGGCTGTAAAAGGGGGTCTCCCAATCTCAAGGGACCAGATCTGGAGATGCTGGATAAAATCCTGGAACTGTTGAAACCCTCTGAAACGCAGTCCTCCCTAACTCGCCTGAACTGACCTTGAGCCATTTTTTTGGTCCAACAGCAACATCTGCTGGATAAGGCATAAATTGCATTTCTTTCTGAAATCGCCTCTTGTTGAATTCAATGTTCTATTTACTCATCTTTCCATAATGGAAAATTTGTTAGTGGGGAAACAGCAAAAATATTCACGGTTCTCAGTCAGCACCTGGAGCCCCATACACTAGGAACAGCAGGAAAAACATGTTGGAAAAGCCAAGCTCTTCCCTACCAAGAACCTTCTACAGAAACAGAGAGGAAAATTGCAGGGATAGTATTGGGTTTTTTAGTTACTGCACAAATTTTGGACTACCACTCTGTTCTACTTTGTTTTAAGTAAAAAAAGAAAGACAAAAGGAGAAAGAAAATGGAAGGTCTTGGAAGGCATTGTATGGCCTATGCTGCGAGCAATGGTCCGGGGGGAGATAGGTTGCTTACCAGC